CTTGACAATAGGGAGTTTGAGTAGTCTCTTTACATTTTAAACATAGTATAATGAAATCACTTTGTATTAATACTAATTTAGCCTTTAATGAAACCGTTGTACTGCTTACTTTTTCAATAGTGGCGTAGATTGGCGAACGATGACGTGGCATTTATCGCTTTCACTATTCCTAGCAGTATATTGTATCAACAATTGATTCAATATATCTTTTTAGTGTTGCTATTAAATCTAACATCCCAGTTGTGATGCTTTAGAGATTTGCTGTGATTTAAATTGGATTCTTTGGTTTAATTTCTCATCTTCATATTGCCAAAATGAAAGTCCGAGTTATGTCTTAAAAAAGTAAAAAAGTAACATTATTATTTGCATACTGCATCATTGAATTACACTATAGGGGGGTAACAGCAGTTAATGTATGTGGTGTTTTGAAAATGTCATCAGAAGGGGAAGCTTATCATCTGTGTTAGGCCAAGTACGCAGCACTGAATGCGAAATCAAACGAGTTCTCTCTGAAGCTTAATCGACTCAAAATAATTCCTTTATGTAAATATGCAAGATGCGTATGAATACCCCGAAGAAAAGGAAAAAATGTTGCGGTAGCTAAATCGTGTTGAATCTCTATTCCCATTGTGATTAGTATAGTGTCAAACGCGAAGGATTTGACTACGATATCATTATTGCTAGGATCATTTTAATTAGCCTTAACTTCAAAGTTCGGGATGTAGTAATGGTTCTAATGTTGGGTATTTCCCGATTCCTAAAAATGATGGTAAACTAAATACCGTAACATATTTTGTAATCAAAACTTCTCATTATTATGTTGATGTGGAAGGGGACCATCGCTTCTCCGAGTACGTCAACACCATTTTCGGTGGTCTGAGCGCCACCAGAGACCGAGTCCATATATCCCATTGCGGCCATCCCCTTCACCAATGACCCAGAAGTCCACCACGAAGGAGGTAAAGGAAAAAGAAATCGTTCCACTGGTCAACGGAGCTCCCAAATTCGAGAATTCACAATCTCAACACCAAGGATCACAGACCAGAATCATTAGCATGCTCATTCCTCACATGCAGGATGGAATACCTATTTGGGTCTTTTCTGCTGGCCAGCTCAATGTTCTGCGGCGAATGGCACAAACACAAATCACTCTGACACATGAACAGGTTTGCCGTTCTAACCGGCTTATCAAATGGTAAGCGTTAGGACTACCTCTTTTGGTATGCATCCACGTTGTCCATTACCCTTTATGTCATATCCAAAATCTGGTTCAACCATGTTTTTATGTAATGTTATCACCTTTAATGGCTAGCGCTCCTGAATTATGCATCTAAGCAAAAAGTTTATCACAACATTTCCTATCGAGAAGCCTCAAAACTGAAATGGGTTTTGATAAGCATATAGTCTTTAGATTATGCCTGTTTAACGATAACATTTTTTAAACGTGAGCACAACTAATGAAGAATCCACTGACTGATATAGTGCAGTAAAACAATGGTGATGGTAATGTGTGCCAACCCTGGCATACGTTTCTGCTAGACTTTCTAGGAGTTTTAACTGACAGCCAACCTTCAAACAATCTAGAGAGTCATGTTTCCACAGAGTTGACAACTGTTAGAAACTGGGTTCCCACTCTATAGTCACCGGGAACGCAGGAGCTGACCGTACCTCCTTCGTGCAATAATTTCGTCAGTTAATGAAGACATCTACTTCAAAGCCTTTGCCCATCACTTATTTGGTTGGTGGTCGCGATGGGATCTAGACAACTCGACCACAAATCAGGATGCTAGCGATTGGCAACCCAGTTTCTAACAGTTGTCGACGCACTTTATAACTAATCACGACCCAGTTTATGACAAATTTCGTCAATGCTTTACGTAAAATCTCTAGCATTTGAGCGCTGCCTATGCTTGGTATAATCAACTTGGGAACGCAAGAACCTTACAAACTATTCAGCGGAAGGAAGAAAATTATTTTACCACTGGCTAGCAATCTATAAATAGTCCTAGTTTAGCTCCAGCTGAAGTTTCTCAAGGAAAATGGAAAATTGTGTTTATCTGATTTTTCGCATTTTTCTCAGTGAATAATAGCCTGTGGAAGCAAATAGTTAATCTGGAGGGATAAGAGTAGCTAATTATGCTGCATATTTCCAGGTCTATGCTTGTGAGTATCTAATAAAAGCTAAAAGTAAGCGTTTTACTAATTTTAACGAAAAATGGCAAAATATCAACTAGATCCCTCACCTTTTATTTCGTCTGCTTTACTTCGTGAAAACTTTCTTTAAGTATAGGTCGGGAATTTGTGAATTTGAAGATACTTAACCGTGATGAGTGATAGCTCAGGGAAATCAGTTTTTATGGATAAATATTAGACTTTTCATAATTATTAAAGGAATGTTGGTAGCAGTGTGATACCGAGGGGTTAGATTTAATTACTCAAATGAGACTTATCAATTTAGTTGTTATTGCAGATGTAGCCCTTATTCACCATAACAGAAAAATGATAACCTTACACTTAGTGGCAAAAGTGCTTCCTGCACTTTAAATAGACTATACTTTATATGTTGATCTAACATGACGGCGGATTTTTAAGGCTAACTTATGCACCAAATGCCCAAAAAATGCATAAAAATTCTGATTTGCATACAGACTGGAACTTCTGCAGTATGCAAGTGCATGTGACTCACTGGTAGCTGATTGCCTACAAGTAACTGCTATTAATAACTGTTGCCTGAAGTAGATTTAGAAATATTAGAACGTAGAAACTTGCTCAAGTTACTTATTACACTGGGGATTTGCATAAGAATTTTACTTTTTCAATTACTACTAAGGTAAATTGACGACCCTGAGCATTGCTGTTGCATGGTTGTACCAAAGTTCTGGGTCTAGTATTGTTGGTCAGTTATTTTAATTTAGCTAATATCGGAGCAGAGATGCGTAAATTTCAAAACAAGAGCTTTAAATTTGTAAGGTTTATTAACGGAAATATTTCCACATTACATACGATATGTGAAGCCTACAAATTGGGGAAAATGCAACTTGAAAACTGTTGTTTTGAAATATCCAGCCAATTCTTCTCTATGATCATACCACAACGGTTAGGTAGGAATGCGATTTCTAAATATACTTATTCATTATGTGTTAATTTTGTGTGCAATCAATGCGGAAATATCTCGGTTTTTCACTTCATAGGCGAATTGGGAGCAGCAAAAATGCTCAAGCGAGAGCACCAGCAACAATAACGCCTGCTGTCAGTCAAGGCGAACAAAATCAGGGCTCCACGTCTATTGTTCTGAGTCAACAAACTGATTCCCGTGTTGTTGACAGCAGGCTTTCCCCAATGAATCCGCTGCTGGCAGGCAGTAAGGGAGAGAATTCTTCTGAAGTCGCTAAAACCCCTGATTCCACAAATTCTAGCCCTGCCTTTTGGCCTGAACTGAAAGACACAGAAATGTCGAGCACTGAAGTGGTAGCAGTGAACGCCTATGGAGCAAGCAGAAGCTTCTCAGGGCCCCTCTTTGGTCGGTCTTTGGAGTTCTGGCAACATCGGGTGGGATATCCATTCCCTCCATGCATCTGCAACATGCTTGCCTATTTGCAACAGGTTGAACACGCAGCCCACGGAATCTTTCGACGGGCTGGGGGAAAGTTGAGAGTGCAAGCACTTCGAGAACAAATAGAAAAAAATATTAGTGAGTTTGTTTCATTTACTTTAGTTCTTTGAATCTTGATCATTAATCAAGGCTGGCACAAAATTCATTAAAGCCCCTCCTTTTGTTATAAAAACCCTTATCTTGTCATAAAGTTGCACAATAGCTTTAAACCAGAATGAAAGTTTTAAATCTCAAACCTTAGTTAGGTATTTTTAATGTGATCGTTTTCGAAACTCCCGGCATAGATCACTGTTTTGGAGTATTCGGCGCATTGAGAAGAGACTGCAGAAAAGGTATATATTTTGAAATTTTTGCTCACTGCACATGTATTTAACATGTGAGTGACACTGTCAAGATAGGTTGAGACTGGATCTTGCAGTAAGAATGGGTTCGCAATTTTGCTAACTATAACTACGCATTGTTGAACAATTATGTCCATTTCAGCAAGTTAGCTCAAGCAAATGTTAACACACTGTAACAACATAAATAATCTTATTTGCTGTGCAAAATGGGAAGTAAATGTTCATGTAGGTCTGGAATTCCAAAGATTTGTTTTAGAAAGTAGATTCATATTTTATTGTAATGTTGGGATATGATCGAATTTTCATGGATGAAGCAACCTCTCTGCAGAGGGGATATATTATTAAGATTTTGGTAAGTTATGCTCATTTTGAAGCCACACTTAAGGTTTTTTTTGCAGACTGTGAAAGAGCTAAGGATGTAACAGACTAATTTGCTAAATGAAATAACTATCTCCCCAAGAAAGAAGTCTACGTGCCCATATTTGTTAGACCTTGCATTTTTGATAATGATAAATGGGCAAAAGCAAATTCAACTTTTGTCAGATATAAGTGTAGAGAACTTGAGATCGAGGGTTCGTAATGCCCAAAAAGGAAATCACATGAGATTCCGCGAGTTTGAAAACTTATCTTTAATGCCACTGAAATTGAAAGCTGGACAACAGCTAAATGTACTCCTCTATGCTTAAACCATACAGCACCGTGGAAATAAAAAAGTCACTAAAACGCTTCTTAAACCCGGCAATTATGGATCTGTGCTTGCGAATCATTTTGAAGCTTGGAGCACAATCGCTACCTCTCAATGTAACCTGTACTTGCTATAAATGGAATAGTCACTTTTGACTGTGCTGTAGATAATTAGGACCCATAATGGGGTAGATGGAAAGAGTGCTACGAGAAGACGCGATCAGCCTGAAGGGGAATTAGCAGGGAATGATCGTCAGGATCGTTCGGAAGTTAGGTGAGAACCAATCACAAAGAGGTCAAAAGGCAGGTATTCACTGCTTCAAGGAATTTTCTTGAGTGCACTCTTCTGCATTATCTGTACCTGATAGGTGAGAATTTTCTCGCTAGCACGCGTATGGTTGTGCAAACCTTTTCTAAATATGGAAACATAAACGGACTAAACGTTGTCGTGTGGTACCGATGGAATCTAGGATCTGCTCCAAAATTGCACCTATGCGCTGTCCATTAGCTTAAACAATCCTCAGTACTAAGTTTCTTCAACCGATCTGTGAAAGAATACACTTGTTCAAAGATGATAAAAAAGTGGTTTAGTAAACGGATGATGAAACAGTTTTTTACACGACTAAATACGAGGAGACAAATCGAAAACCTATCCGATCTATGTCTCAAGGAAAGATTTTCGAGACGAACAAAGCATAAATAATATTTGAAATGAACTCTATAGGGACAGCCGAATGTAATTCAAACATAAAACTCATGTTAACATTAGTTGATATTTGCAGAAATTGAGTAAAGCGTGTAATACAACAACTTTGCCCTATTTTAATTCTCGCGGTATTTGGAATAAAACACTTGCAATAAAATTTTAAAGGGCTTTTAGATGTTTTGATGGCTGAATGTTTGTTAGCACTTAGAATTCTGAGGATTTGTCCTTTTCTTTTAGACTGGAGTTCTTTCGATGAGTGGCAACCCTATGACGTGGCTGACCTCCTAAAGCAGTTTTTCCGAGAACTTCCAGAATGTCTTCTTACAAACGTACTATCATCCAATCTTATAAATATATTTCATCGTACGTTTCCTTTGATTCAATTAAAACTGTCTATCTTCTTGCCTAATGAAACCACTCTCACCATCGCCTAATGTTCACCTGTCACGTAGGAGGTATTTATTTCTTATTTTTGTCTGTTCAAACTTATATGTGGACCTCGGCGAGACAGTTTCATTTTATGGGACAGTTGTGTTTCATCTGATAAGTGCGACGAGTAATCATCTTGGTGTGCAGTTAATGATTCAAAGTGGATGTCATTCCATTTGTTTACTTATATTAAAGAAGTGAAATTTTGGAGACGGCATAATATTTTTTCAACATATTTTTATTTCATGAGCCTAGTAAATATCTTCGTTCTTGCTATTTGATCCAGCAAGTTTCAAGGGAGCATCCCAAAGCATCGCGAAATTACAAACAACCATATTTTTGAGTTTTCTGTAGAAATTTTAATATTCAAAACTAAACTCTTGCTGCAGTACAAGTGCCTGATCAAGTTTGAAACAGAAAATAAGCAAATTTGTTTTAGAAATCCCGGAAGTGTAGGTTTCTTTATACAAGGAAGGTGTACAACATTTCCATGCTCTGCGGTCCATAAATTTGACCCTAATCCATACATAAGGTAGAATGTCAATTGAAATCGGAAAATGTAATGCGGAAAATCTTGGTATTTACTAGCCTACATCTACTTGTTTGCAACCTCGGACCGTTTTGAGATGTTCTTAATATGCATTTCAAATATATCATTGAGATCAAGTTGGAATTTCGTTTTCAAGTCCATAGCAGCCTTTATTCCTGTCAATTTAGTCCCACTGATTGGGCTAGGAAGCGCCTTATTTAGTAAAATACTTTGTTTCATTGAATCTCTTTCGAGATGCGTGCTGAATGAATCAGGAATACCTGCTTACTCACACAAACTGTTAAACGAAGAATTGCTAGATAGGATGGATTCTTTATTCAGATTCGACATTTATTTAGCATTTCTGATCAACAGCCTAGTACAAAATGAAATACTAGAAACAATGTAGTATAATGTAATTATTCACAAAATTTGCTTATTTAACCATTTAGTTGCAGACATCCTGATTGCTAAATACACTTCCGAAACTGACAAATCTTACCATCATTCAGCACAATTCGTCACCATTCGAAACTCGTTTAGATAACACATGAATTTACAAAACAGAGCTCAGTCTTTTATCAGTATGCTATTATCGTAACTTCTGGATTATCAAACCATATTAAATAATTATGCTCCCTAACATGACTGGATTTGTGTAATCCTTACAAAGTGCAGATTAAAAAGGTGACTAAACAATATTTTAAATGACGATCTTTTATCAGTCAGTAAAGCATGTAAGCTTTTGCCTTGGATTGTTAAAGAACAAGATAACTGAAAACTGTACACTGTATGCACTTTTTATTTAACTACAAAACAGTCCTTTAGGTCCTAGTGAATTTAAATCATTCACTGAAAAAATGAACATTTCCTTTCCAGATGCACCGGAGGTCTGCACGATTGATCTGCTTAGATTGGCAATGATTAGCTTGCCAGATGTAAATCGGATCGGATTGCAGAGCCTCCTCCAATTCTTGTACGCACTCTCTCTTCGATGCTCCTTAACTCAGGTGACTCGCCCTGCTTATTACTGAAATCCTTATAAATTTTACCCTAATTGTGACTGACTGATTATTTAAAAATTTACAGAATTTAACTTTATAATAAAAAATAGCTAACCCCGCTAATTAGTAGATTGTGTTTCTTTAAAATTGTATAGGTGGCGAATACATATAATAAGTGTTTGTTATTAAGTTCTATACGGTTGGGCAGACGAATTAAAAATCAAGAGTCAAGCGTGTGCGCTTGTTTACACGTTATAGTAAGTCATGATAAAGTTGCAAAACTTTCAGAAATGGCGTACAATCTGACAATAATACCTTTGTGTTTATTTAAAAAGTTTCATGCCCCCGAAATTCACAGTTTTTAGTCTTTGGTGAATTCTTTGCTTCCGTGGGTTTTGAGTTATTTCAAATGTCACCACCACAGAAGCATTCTAAGGAAGAAATCTTGTAATATTTGTGAATTAGGGAAATAAGTGTCTGATGATGCTAGCTGATTCTTGAAAGTGGATGGGAGAGTGGGTGTGGTTGTTGAAATCTGTTGCTATCAACTCAAGTGAATATCATAGGATATGCCAGTGACAGTGGTTAGACAACCACTTAGGTGTGCCAAACACAAAAGTTCTAAAAAGCAAAGATTTGCTCCTGACAATTAGAAATTAATAGCAAACAGTGCTTGAATTAATAACCAACCAAAGATACATTAGTTAGTGTATACTGATACCTTAGGAACCATATTCAGATGCATCAATGAGTCAATTTTGACTCAACTGCCATAGTATTAATAGCAATGAACTTTACTGAAAGTTAGTGGAACAAATTGGAAGTTTGCGGAATAAAAAAATTGAATTACTTTGGCTTTGAGATTTTGCGTAACATTATAGGTTCAATTTATTCTTACTTATTAAGATTGGCAATATATGGGATGATTAACCAAACCAACGGAATTAGAAGATAAAAGCGTTGTAAATACATAAATACTTAACTTCTTTATCTATATTTTAAAATTATCTCATTTTGTACTGGCTGGCAGTGTTCAATAGCAACTTCACCTCTATATCTAGTGACAAATTACGGTGGTTTATGACAGATACTTGTTCGACGTGTACCCTCTAGATATCAGAATGGTAACAGCAATGGTTCCCATGGTAGGGCTTAAGTATGGAGGTATTATCAAGATTATTTAATAAACCCAAGATTTTTTTATTTTGCTATTCCAAACGCTTTGCAACTAATTTTATTTAAAGGCCTGAATTAGGATTTACTTTTGAATGCCTATCAATAACAGGGTTTTAGAAGTATATCAAGGGGAAAGAGGAAAAAGGGAACAGAAGACAGTAAGATATACAACGAGGCTAAAAATATTCCTCTTTTGCTTCATGTTCGTGTGAACCGACACCTCACTGGGTGATGAATCTTACAAGCATCTGATTAAACAAAACCTAACCCGAATGTTTTAGCATTACATAAATTTCAGTTAATGGTTTTACCAGTGGCTATCTGAAAAACCTTTTGTATGAGCCATTGCTTACATTCCAACGGCTAATATTTATAACTTTTCAAAGCAATAATATCACATAAGCGTAAAAGTGTAATCCAAGGACTATGCATTCTCTCATTTAACCTCCACTCCCTACAAGTTTAAAGTATGAGACTTTCCTTTCTTGTATTTCCTCAAAAAAGTTGCTGGAACTAACATTCTCCCTCACTGTAACGACATGCTTAAATGAATCGGAAAATCCACTCTTATTGAAGATGAAAGTTTGCTTTTCTTCTATGAAGCAAGCATCTGTTTAATAAACTCTCAAAGCACAAAATTTTCCATTTTAACAATTTTTGGACCATTGTTTTGAGTTTTACTTTATCTGATAAATTGGTGTAATAATAAACTGCTATAATATCACTTGATACATCTGTAAATTATAACAAGTATTCAATTTAAACCCTTTTCTTTCCTCTGTCAAGATGAGCGCTCTAAATTTGGCGATTTGTCTGGCCCCCTCCCTCTTTCACTTCTCAAGTCTTCTGGTACCATCTACGGCAGTTTCGCCACTGCTGGCAAACTTTGGGTCTCGACGACGCAAGAAATTGGACCCATTAGGTGGTCTTGAACCCAAAGACCTGGCCGAACAAGTGGCAGCTCAAAAATGCCTTTGTGCTCTCATTACTTATGCTCCCAGCATCTTCATGGTGTGCTTCACTTCTCTTTGTCTTGACTGAATTGCTCTACTAGTTAGGGGGATAATTTTCCTGTTTTTTATGGTAAATCCAAGGTTCCAGTTACATGGATGCAACATCAACATCTTTTTTTGACCTAGCTATAAAAGTGTTATACAGACAAAACATATACATGAAGGCAAGGTTTCGGCATTTCAAATTCATCGTTGGGGAGGATAAGACAATTAACGACTATTAATATTACAAAGCCGGATTGGATAAGCTTTCTCCAAATTCAATGTGGGTTTACATTTATTTCCACAAATCTTCATTATTTTTCCAGCTTTCTTTACAGTTTACGAAACAAAATCCAACTAAGAGTTTATTTTTATCCGATGAAGTATGTTATTTACTTAACTGAAATTAAGTTCAAAGGTGTCCAAGAATGGTTTATTTCTGAATTTTCCAGATTTTACTTAAAACTAGTCCACTCGATTATAGATTAATGAACATGCATATCGCTTAATTTATCATCTGAAATCTCTGCACCCCATTTGCTGCAAGTCTGTAACCCCTAATAACTGAACAGTTTGAAAACCGAAGCGTAAACTTTTAAGTTCCTTTTAATTCCAAGATCATTCTCATCACTTTTTTCTAAGGTGACTGAAAGTATTGTTCTAAAGACGCGACTCGATACCGAGCGAATTGAGATTCCCCGACTATCTAGCGTTTTGAGCGCTACGAATGGAGACGCCAACCTCTGGCTCCAACAGCAAGTAGAGACCCTCCTCCGCGACTGTGGCAGCTCCATCGCACCTGCCCCTTTGGCCACTGCTTCTGCTACCACTGGCGCTATTGGCACCGCTGGCACAGGTGCAGGTAGTATAGGCACTGCTGTGAAGTGTGCTGCTGGCAAGCAATACTGGAGTTCTCTGACAAAAGAGGCTCTTAAGGCCTACAGCACCGAGTGCGTTGTTTATATTTCTATGTGTGGAATTGTATTTCACAGAAGAGAAGTAATCCGTTAAGGGCCCTATCATAGACAAGCATCCAATACTGGGAACTAGAGCATCAGAAAGGTTTTAGTAAAGGGCGGAGTTTGAACCTTTCTACTTTTTTTCTGAATTTTTAGACATCCCTTCTTACTGAAGTATAATTGTAGCCTTATTCATAGCCATTCCCAACAGACTCCTGAGGAGGTGGAGTAATTTCCTCCCCAGGGTTATGAGTAATTACGAAAGTGGAGAAAATAGTGTGAGTTGTTTAGTGACTTGAGGGGCTGTCTTAATGAGCAATCGAAGTCTACATACCACTGCAGCGTTTAGTTAAACAGTGGCATAAAGAGCATATGCGCGTTTCAGTTTATTCTTATAGTTTTCGTTCACTAGCTTGTTGCCTTTATGCAGTACTGCTCGGATTTTTCCCAAAGTTATAATATTCATTCATTAAAAATGACATCCAGAACCATTTGCACTTTGAACTCTTAATTGTGTTTAGCTATTTGAAAGCATCATCATCTGCTGCCAAAATCCTAATTTAACAACTCCCATTGAACCGGTAGAAGCTTGTGGGAATGAATTTTCTTCTACATAAGCTTTCTTTTTGGCGTAGGCTAACATGGGAAGTGATGATTATATATCAGCTGCTGTGATAATTGATTAGAACCACTGCATGGAAAAACTACAGAATATTTGAATATGTTCCTTTAAACATTATTTGACAGTTGTTCATTTGGCCATTGACTCGGTGGTCCAAGTTTGTGAGACCAGTAGGGCATTTCTTCGTAAGTTAGCTATTTTGTTAATGCATTTTTTGACTGGTATACTTGTTTTTTTTTTACCTTGACAAGAATATAATGAAAGTGCACTCATCGCTTTTCGGGTTTACTACTTCATACTTGCAATTAGTTGTGGTTAAATAAATAATAAGATGAAAGTGAACAGCTAAAATCTGATGTTTCAAATCATTCCAGCATGAACTAGCAAAAATGCAAAATAATCTAAAAAGCAATACTGTCAAAATCAGGTTTTCACTTTGTCATAAGCCAACACAAAAGCACTGTACATTACCTGTCAGTCACGTTTGACATCTTAAAATTCCATAATTGTGCAAAATGGTGCGCTGTATTTCCACCTATGTAGAAGTGTTTGCAGCTAAGTGAAATTTTCCATTACAATCAGACTAGCCAACTTTCATTTTCGTTTCGCAAGTATTAGTTATTGGAACGGATCATCACAGAAAGGCATTTGAGTTTCCAAAAGGCTTCCGAACATTTAACGCATAATTGTATCATAGTTGTAAGTGTATACAGTGCAGATTGTGGTTCGTGCAGCTCTTTGTGACAGCACAAAGGGTTGAATAACTAATTATAAATAATCTAGATTATGTGCAATGTCAAAAGGGTTTCTATGCACTTTTGTTTCGAGAAACCTTCACGACAGTAACTCAGACCTTGATATCAAGATTAAATGCTATTGTTTAAGTAGATTCAGGCCAGGTAGCTAAGTTCCATCTCTTTATAGATGAAATAAAATATGCGGATCTTCTTAAATTGCTTAAATGTTTTCCATGTGTCACTAAAATAAAAAATTGATATTTCGAAGACGTCAAAACAACGTGGATTGCATAAAAAATAGGATATTACATACAGATTTACCAAAGTGCACATTGTTGATGGGATAAATTTTGTGCAACTAATGGAATTTTATTAAGGGATTACACAGTTAGTATAGACTTCAGCGGTTTGTGTCATCTGTCATTCTGTTGCACATGTAATCATTTTTCAATTTTTGATTGTCGTTGGTGATATTTTCTGGAAAAATGACGATTTCACTCCCCGTACTAGTTGAATTTAGTCTCTTTAACTCACTAATCCCGTGGTAATTTGCGGATTTTTACTTACAATGGCAAAGTACTTTGTGAGGTGAGTTCCATTATCAGGATAAGAGTGCAACAACTCAAGATTTAATGATTAGATTTTAAGCCCCAAGGTACTCATCATCAGTGGAGAGTGTACGGAAGAACTGCTGCACTTTAATTCCTAATCTCCTTTCGTTTTACAGTTCTGGGGAGGGTGAAGCACTGACCGGTTTCGAGATTTCTATAAGCAAGCCCACAAAGACGAGCCAACAGCAATACGCTGCTGAGTCCATTTCTCCATTCCTGCGCACTTGGCGCTGCTCTATTCTCTTCCCCGTAAAGGACCCCCAACTTATCGCAGACAAGTACTGGAATGAGAGGTATGTCCCTGTTTTCACACCTCTTGGAAAACGTCATAAGTAGGCGCTTTGGAATTTCTTTATTTATATCATGAACACATTACTTTAAATAGATTTTTTGTTAGCTCAAATCTTATTTCTGAAATGGTTTTTCCTGATAATTTGTTCAGATTTTCTGAAACTACTTATTACCCCACTTCCGTGAAGTCAGATTCATTTTTGCTAATAAAAGTTTGTTCTTCCTGAACATTCAGAAAAATGTGCAATACTTTTTGATGGAAACTTTCTGCTATTTCATAAGCGAATAAAGTTTTCAGAGATATCAGTGGTTTTAATTTTTTACGTTAATTTTAAACCCCTTTCCTGCTCATTTTTGTCATAAAAGAGAAAATAATGTGTAATGCGATTTGTTTAATGTAGAACAAAGGTTGAAGCTGTTAATGATAAGACCCCCGATTTTAAAGACTAACAGTGAGCTTTTTTAATAATTTTTTACTTCTTGCAGGCATGTTCATAGCTTAGTTTAATGATTTTGAAATTTTGGTAGATGTGCATAAATTTTGGCATTTTTTTATGCCTTACACACTTATAGTCGCAACACACTTCAAAAGCAGCTCATATTAACATTTGGGGCCGAATGAAGACCGATAGCGCTTAAAAATCGGTAACTGCGCTACATAAATTGGTAACTATGATTGACTTAGGGTTTCCTGGGATGAGAACGTTCTGCGATCGGAAGTGATGGAGGAATTGATTTTGGATCGTGTTCAAATCCACCGAGTCCTCTTCAACGCCTTACCACCTCAACCAGCTCGTGAGTCCCGCCTCCTTCGTGGACGGCAGGTTCTGATGAGGACGAAGGGTGCGGAGTCGACTGCAGATGAGTTGGTCACAGGTGTGGCGATCGTCAGCACTTCGGTGAATCATGGAGTTGTGGTACCCGAAGTTCCACAAGAACTCCTCCCTTCAGCCCATTTCTCCAAGGAGCATCTACTCATTGAAAGAATCACCGCTCACTCGAGACCATCTTGTCGAGTCACACTTATTTCAGAGGCTGATATAAAGTGAGCGAATCGGTTCATTTACTGTTTCTTAAAAACTCAAAATATGCAAAGAATTTTAGCCTACTAGAGACATTGCAATAGCCACTGTTGATGTCCTACCCGTTATTTATGAGTAATGCACACAAGAGGTTGAAAAGTTTTTGTCCTACTCAATTCTGCACGCTGTCACTAAAGATCGGTATTGCTCCAAAATCTAATCAAATTCCTTCAACACGGAAATATTTTTGGTATACGTGTTTATTCCTCGCTATGTCAGTCACAATGTTTATTAGACGAAAATACTTCTTACTTAAACAATACAAATACATTATTTGGGCCAATTGTGATTGGCTCAACAAGTAACCACCACGAGCATTGACCGCTATCTCAAAAATTTTCAGAGGCTTCTCTCAGGAATGGTACACTAACCAATGGGGTCACTACCTCCTGCGAAGACTTTTGGCTCTGCGACACTGCTTTGTTCAACGCACCGAACCCGTCCAAGATCTTGACTCTCCTCCTTTTCCCACGGCAGAGGAATCAGGGTCTTTTGCCTAAGCTTATACATACACGTACATAAATCCACAGCACACTTGGTACATGTCTTTTTTACTTATGCTCAAGATATCTCTCTCTCTTTCTCCTCTCCCCAATCATTTAAAGCTTTTAAACATCCTCTGCGCTTGTACACATTCTTTTATTAACAGCCACCCACCTCAAGAGTTCATCAATTATTAGCACCTTGTCAAGGGAGTTCGCAGATTGTCTTCCTTTACTTATTACTCTATTATACATATATACATAAACATATCTGCAGAAGACAACGTTTAATATGAAATTTAACTGTTCATAACCTTGGCTTCTGTGGTGCGCACTAAATGTCCCGCCATGCATCCTCATTAACTTGTTGTTTAAATTTCGTGTACTGAAAAATAACTATAGATTAGCGACGAATGCCGATAAAGTAACGTTATGGCTTGAATTTGAACAACCAGATGGATTGGAATTGCCGTATTAATCATTAGGCTGCTTTTGCTCAGTGTTACAGTCTTTAGTTCATTGATCCAAGACTTTCTATCGTGGTGTCACTCATCCTTGTAATAACTCTATACATATTAACCTGTGACATGTCTTTTAAGGTAGTTAGAAAAAGTGAAATAAGTCAACTTGTCCCATTATTTTCTACTCCTCGAGAGAATTTTTATACCCCCAAGACTTTGGATAGGTAGCTGAAAACCAAAGCGTTTAAAGCTAAAACATTCCCACCATGGGAGTAGCCTAAACTTTGCGATCTTATTACAGTGGTACCTGCTCTCTTCTTTAATTAGACATTAGCATTTGGTAAATGTCTCCTATGGTTGTTTCCTTTGATGCATTACTACCCCAAAATCCTGTTGCGAATATAGAGTGATCAGTTACTGCCACTTTTATTATAATGTATATTTGCAATTGACAACACTAAACAGGGGTATAGTCCAGTCATCGAATTTATATGAACAACTTTGGCCATTTTATAAAATTCGATGACTGACAATGACATACTTCTTTAAAGTGAAGTTCCTCCTGTACATATGCCATCTACGTTTGAAAAACCTTGGAGTAGTTTGTAATAGAGATTAATGGCATAATCAAGATGTGAGAACACGTACTAGCATATCGTTTTGTTTTCATTCGGCGATTTTGGAACCAAATCTTCACCTACAATGGCATCAAGAATGTGCTCTTCGAATTAATGGCTTTAGTGACTCAGAAACATATTTTATTCTCACACTAACAGGGAATCTCAGAAATACCGAGGTCTAATTTCGAGCCTCCGGACCTCTGATTTATTGTTGAAGATTGGTTTGCAAGAATTTTGATTCGACAGTGAGGCCTTATCGTTAAGATTATATGGTTGAATTCTCATAACAAAAAGTCGTCGTTTGTGCGAATGTGCTTTTAAATACGTTTTAATCTATACTTATTCTAACATTTCTTATTCTCAGTTTTCAATTCCCGTAAACTATAATTTACACAGTGACACACTTGAGCTCCTGTAAATCAGCGTTAGAAAGCATTTCTTATCATAAAATGCTGCTGGTGGGGGGTGGAGGATTAGCAAAAAGAAGTCTTAAACTTTAAAGAGAAATACGGCCGGGAATTGGTGCAAATTGTACTTTGATTGGCAAGCAACGAGATGAATTATTTCTCAATTATCAAGACGTCCCTAGCGAATGACAACAACTGATTAATTTAATTAGGTTAGTAGAATTAAAAAGCATATCTTTAGAAGTAAACGAAATGAATAGTCATACCAGAATGCGAATATCTTTAATGCGGCTTTTATTTCTGAAAGTATGGGAATGGTTCAATTTAAAAGTCTCCTTTTCACCTTAACTTTTAATTCGTTGCTGAGTAATTTCAACTCTACCTAGCCAAAATACTGCAGTCTATCAGTTTTTCAAAGCTTGACTTAAAATAATAATGAAAGGTGGTTTAATTGAGCGCAAAGCTGAATGAATGCTTTCATGACCATCAAAAAGCCACAGTCTCTTTGGCACATTTTTAATGCATATCTATTGTAGCCGACTCTAAAACCTGAAAACCCACATACATTACCTTTATCGGTATTTAAATGATTGGTAAAGTTTCAACTGACTGTGATCTGGTAAGAACTAAGGCAAAGTGAGTGGGGCTCTTATACAGCTAGAGTTAATTAAAGCTGCGTAAGCATAATAAAAGCAGTACCGTATTACAAATGAAGGGTATCTAAGTGCTAAAGATGGGCTATTTCGGATTAAAATGATCCTACCTTACCGTAAATTGTTTCGTCCAAACTTTAAATATACTGCAAAAAAGTAATTTAAAACCCACCTTTTAATTTTTGTTTTACAGCGCAAAGAATGTAAGCAGCAAGTGAGTTAACGATAATGCATTTAAAGAGAAGACTGCAGTTTATTTAAACTTCACCTGACTAAACTGGTATTGTTGCCAGTGAGTTAAAAAATTTGTTATATAAAGAGCTAAACACGGTTTAACATGGACAAATCCATAAGCTGAATAAAAAACCATTGATAATTATGGTCTAAATAGTCCATCCTGAAATAAATTCCACGACTTACAGTAGAAAATCCTCCACCCCTTCCCCTAGGCCCAAAGTCCTAATTACCTGGCGCTCGGACAGTCCGAGGGCAACAGCCACCTCGTAGCGACGCAGACGGGTAAGGTAGGCATGTGCACGAAACTCCCCCTCCAGTGCCTCCAGCTGTTGTCTGGTGAACGCAGTGCGCTGTTTTTTTGGCTGCCGCTGGCCCTGATGCTGGGTGTCCCGTTCCTGCTGTTGCTGAAGTTGATTTGCTTTTTGATATACTGCTGCATGGACACCGGACAAGTCCACACTGCTGCCCTTTCCGCTGATAATCTCTTCACTGACATCCGCGCTTGTGTTTGTGACACCAAGTCTTGCTGGCCATTCGACAGGGTCTGTGAAAAATGGAGACACACTTTATGCGTTTGGAGGTGTTAGGTTACCCCCTCCCCTTTCCTCATTCATTACTCCGGTACCTAACACAATTCCCCACCAGACGAGGTAAAATTTCACTTCGCTAAATTTTCATTTATCGTCATTGCGTCAGCAAGCTTTTTGAGGGTTGCAGTCTATCTTCCATTCAGCTTGCTTGAATTGGGAACACTGCTCTTGAAGAAATAGCATCGTCTTGTTCCAATAGTCCAATTATATGAAAAATCTAGTTTCACAAACAATGGCGTCATACTCTTTTGGTAAATATGCGTTATCATAAAGCTCTCGGTAGCGCAATGTCCAACTTACTTAATCACTTACAAGGGGAAAATAAGTTTGTTCAATTTAATGTACAGATTATTTACACGCGGTTTAGTCGAGTCAAAAATGGCACAAGCAGATTTCGAAAAGTGGATATCCAACTCAATAATTGTTCAATTAATATTTTTTGACTATTGTACTTGCATTTGTCAGTTATGCGTTAAATGAATGTAAAAAAATCCTGGATAAATTGAAAAGGTGTTTTGTTCGCGCATTCCGTACAAAGGCAACTAGAACTGTTAAGTAGCTAATACATTACCTAATGGTTGCAGTGGTCCACATTTAAAGACCGTGTTGAAGGGCCTCTCCTCCGACACCTTATTCATTAAAACTGCACTAGAAACAAAGCAGGGTGGATAGAATATAGAAGCAAGAAATTAAGGCATTTCGTCCTCTCGCTGCAGGGATGGAAATTTATCGGATCTGCTGAATGACTAAAGACACATTGGGAAAATGATGTGGTCTAAAGCAGTATGCCAAAAGATTGGTCAATGTTTGTGAACAGGATATTAAGCATGACAATTTTAAAATTTATGCAAATAAATTTGATTAATCTACCCACTCACATTCATCATATGCACAATTATCTCAAAAAATATGCCTACCTGTTTGTTCATATTGAAACGAGTACGGTGCGCGATAGTTGTTGCTAACTTGAGGAAAAAAGGAATATTTAGTCCCGAATGGTAATTGGTTCACTTGGGCAGGAAATGGTGGTGCAGTGAATCCATTTCCCGAGTAATAATTGAAGAATCGAACTGAGGATGGAACGTGAGGGTGCTGAGGACTCCGAGTGATAGGAACATGAGGCATTAGGGGTGCTTCAGCATTCGGACCACTAAACCAACCGGCTGCAAAGTCGCAGTCAGACATTTTGCTGACGACTGGGAATGCATGGTGCAGCTGAAGCCAGGCGGGAATATAGTGCCATACAATGATTGGCTGCTAGTGTAAGGGTTGCGACGCGGACGTTATTTTGATTGGCCCCCGAAGACACGAACACAGTAGGTCTTCAGTTGAAACATTTTTTCAAAATGGGAAACGCAAAGTTAGTTGGATCCAGCTTATCTTGAATCCGATGTCATTCGATAATTTGGATCCCATAGGTCTGTCCTTATGCTATTATAAAAGTAATTTGTATATTTTTACTGAGCTCGCACTAGAGCAATATTCTGCGCAGAAGCATTCATGCTTAAAGAATCGTGTTTAGGATTCAGACATTGAAAATTTGGGTGAATTTAATGCATCACAACCCCTTTTGGTCTATTGACTGCCACAAATAGCTAGATTAAACGGACCTACAAAATTGTAAATCACTCCAAATCCTCCATTGGTACCTGGAGTGCTTAATCACTGAGTTTATCAATAACTGATTCTTCATCAATCGTGATAAATTTGGTTGAAAGTTATGTATATGGTTGCTCTCAACCACAAGTTTATGACGAAACTGTATCATCTTATGATCATTCTTGCAGATTACAGGAACCTGAAGTTTAATCAAATACGCAGGCGGTATCTGGTTATTGAATAAATTTAGAGATAAATATTTTTTAGACTCTTTTTTTTAACAAGATTACGGTGACATAAATTTAATTAGATGCCCCTTCTGACAAGCATATAAACTACTTACAAAGTTATGAAGCCGATGACTTGATTTTTTTGGACATAATTAGGCGACCATACCAGATGGTACAAGGATAAAATATTGTTCTTACAGAATCATTATGAATTGTGCAATTAAATAATAATTCTTTATGGTCAAATTATTCATCCACCAACGGCTACTTACTTTTGTTGGTCTGATCTGTTTTTACGAGAATTAAACCTATGTGAAGTTACTACATTTTATTAGAAAAAAGGATGGGATTAAGCCTAGATTTTATATCTTTCCATTAGAGCATAAATACCTTCTATACCAGTGAATCTATTGCTAAATAGGACTACTTTTCTGACATTTAACACACATCTAGATTAAAATATGCGGATTGAAGGAATTAGGCTCCCTGAAGTGGCTTGGTAGAAAGTTGACCACACAGGATTCAAGATTTCTCCCTTTTTCATTATAGAAATTTACTGTTAGTGGGTGCGAAACCAAAATCACATGTATTCACAAAGCTGATACTCCTCATCATGGCAACCGTTTTACTGATACATTCCATACGTGATGTCCGAATTGGAAGCCTTAACATTAACTCCGCTAGTCAAA